TGATTGGTATCGTACTATACGAATATACCAACTTTCAAGTTTTTAAAATATTGCCTAAATATGATTGGTGGCGCTGTTTCTTGATTACAAATGATAGTCTAGTATGAAGTGATGTTCGTACTATACTATTAGTTATATTTCAATATAATATTTTTTTTATTTAAATAAAACATTTTAATTTATTTCTATTTCAATAGATTATACAATGTTGATGCAAAAATAACAAGTGCGAGAAACTAGTAAACTCCACTAATGTTTGTAATCATAAAAACAAAAACTCGGTCTTCCAGATTGCAATAGTTGATGTTGATGGTGTGTATCAACATGTTGATGATAGTGAGCGACATAGTTAGTAAGGCATTGACATCGAGATCAATGACATTTATCAACCTTATAATTAAGTGATGTTTACATTGATGTTATTGGCGATAAAAAAACTACATCATTAGTGGATAAGGACATTTTTATCCATAATATTCATTAATGTTATAGCTGTGACATACGTTGATATTTTTGGTGAAAGCGAGTTATTAAGTGGATGGGTGTTAGCATTTATGTTTATAATGTGCATCAATGTTATTAGTGATGGAGTGCATCAATGTTATTAGAGATAATATGCAATAAAATTGGGGGGGCATCATTAGTTGGGCGATGGAGGTTAGAGATAATAGTTAGACAACAATTGTTAAGAGATTGCAGTTAGATAACGATTGTGGTCGGCCAACTTAAATTAAATGATGGTCGTCAGGCAACAAGACATGGATGATAATGGACAAAAAACTTTAAGTTAATGATGATTGAGCAATAATAAGTGTTCATTGTCATTAAATGTCAGACATAACTCTAGTGTTCCTCAGACCACCAAACTCTTTTCAATTTCTAGTCAAGGTTTAAGACCCCTTTATGTGAATAATGTGAATTTATTTCTAGTTTTTTGTAGTAAAATTTTAATAAATTTAGCTAAAATTCCTAGAAATTCTATTGGGCAACTCTTCTTGATTATTTTGATCATATAATATTCTTTTAATATTAAAGTGCCTTAAGGATCATGAAATTGAGTGAGATTGAGCTCAACCACCCATTTGAGCAATCTCCCAAAATGGTTGGGTGTAACAAGTATGGCCTTGAGTGGATGGTTTGTAACAATGTGAATTGGACGAGCTTGAAAGTATAGTCGCAATCTTCTTGCTGAGCAGATTAGTGACCACGCGAGCTTTTCCATGCTCGGATATCATGGTTCCAACCCCGTAAGTGTTTTGCTTACATAGTACACGGGTTAGTGTTTCCTTCTTTCTTCTTTAACAAGAACAAAGCCGATCGCATCCTCGTCGCCCAAGATATAGTAGCAAGGTTTCTCCTGGTAACAATCTTTGGAGGAGGGGCAGCGACGTAAGAAAGAGTTTCAACTATTGAAATGCCGCTTCATAGTCCTCGTTCCAAGAGAACCACTTTGTGTTCCACAACACTTTAAAGAACGACGAGCATCTTCCACCAAGTTTGGAGATAAAACAACTTAACCCAACGATTCGCCCAATACATTGTTGTACCTCTTTGGGGGTTAGAGGCAATTTCATGTCTAAGATGGCTCCCACTTTGTTAGGGTTGACTTTGACACCTTCTATTGTGAGTTAAAAAAGCTATAAATTTTCATTATCATGCACTAAAAGTACATTTCAATGGGTTTAGATGCATGTTATACCTTTTGAGTGTGACGAATATCTCCTTCAGGACTTTGATGTGTTGGTCAAGCAACTTCCTTTTCACCAAGAGATCATCTATATGGACTTCAATGTTTTTTACCTTTTCTGCTCTTTAAGGATTTTATCCATCATCCTTTGATATGTCGCCCCGCATTTTTTTAATCTGAAGAGCATGACCCTATAGCAATATAATCATTCCGCCGTAATGAAGGCAATCTTTTCGTAGTCACCTAGGTGCATTCAGATCTAATGGTAGCCATAGAAAATGTCTAGAAAATTCATTACTAAGTATCCTACTGCCAAGTCAACTAGGGCGTCAATTCTTTAGACATGCCGAGTTCAAATTCATGAAATCTAAGCACATCTTCCATTTTTTTGTCACCTAGTCTGGGTGCTAAACTTTGCGAATGAAATATGCGGTTCTAAGTTTCTCAACTTCATCAATGATTGGTCCCGCGAGTATGGAGAACATCTTTCTTATTTTTTTGCTTAATGGGGCGAGCATCTTTTTTCACATTAAGTTGATGACATGTGATTTCTTCGTTGATGCTTGGCATCTCTGAAGATGTCCATGCAAATACATCAACGTCGGTCATCAAGGCCTGAATGAGATCTTCTTGATGTTCCTTGCTAAAGGAGGTGTTCATTTTGAGGGTTCAATCTTATTCTCCTTCTACCACTACTACTTCTTCGATTTCTTCAGAGGTTTCCAACACTGGACCCCTTTTTATGTCCAAGTAGAGGAACTCTTCTGAGGTTGTTGCTACCTCGCCAACTTCCTTCAGGTAGTAGGTCCGTGACTGGGTGAGGTCCCCTCTCACAATTATCTCCTTTCCTTCTACCAAGAATTTTACGGCGATGTCGTAAATGGAAACCACTTCCCTGAAGGTGTTTAATAGAGGTATGTTAAATATAACGTTATAGGTTGATGGTGCATTGATTATGATGAAGTATACCATGGCAGTGTATTGGTTATCACCCTCCCCCTAGGTGATTGGCAAGGTGAGTATTGCTTTGGTGTTTTGACGCTCACCGGAGAATACATATAGAGGTCCCATAACAGGGACGACCTGGGAAGCAAACATGTTCATTTTGTTGAAGACGGATTTAAAAATGGTATTGATCGAACTACATGTATATATTGAGATGTTGTCGATCTAGTAATTGGCAATAGGTGCATTGACGATAATCGCATCATTGTGAGGATTTCCTCCGACTAGTTTATCTTTTTAACAAAAAGTGATGGGGACAACATCGGTTATTGCCGCTCAGCAAGGTAATGTTGGGTGGACTTCTCTTGCTTGTGCTTTTTTTTGGAATTTGCATGGAGGTCGTTCCGGCAGGTACCATGCTAGCTATATGTACTGAGCAGGTCCGTATTGGCTTGTTGGCACCGTCTTCCATAGAATTATTCCTTGGCTTTAATTTTGCATTTTCTATTAGTTCTTCCACGGGACCCCGAAGATGGCTACATTCCTTCGTATCGTGGCCATGATCTTTATGGAAGGCACAGAGTCTCAAGGGTTGACGGTGCTTTTCATTGGCGGTGAACGTATGAAGAACTTCTTATTTTGAATGGATTCTACGAGTTTTGTCTTTGATGCCCTCAATGGGGTGCAAGTAGGATGGATGGGAGATTCATGATGAATCTCCTCATGGTAAGGGCGAACGGCCCAAGGAAGTTCCCTTGTTCTGGGTGTTGGCAATTCTATTATCCTTAAGTGTTTTTGTTGAGAAGGGGTCCTCTATAATAAGGGCGTCGGTGGTCATGTGGTCGACTGGTTTGTCTATCCATTCTATCTTTGGGGAGAACTCTATTTCCCTCCCTTCCATAGCGGAGCTCTTCAAGGGCTTTTGGGCACTGGCGAATTGTGTTATGAGCATTCGTTTGAACTAGGAGAATGAGGTGATCACTCCCACTGAAGGTGAGTGAACCACATGAGTGTCCATTTTTTGAGTGTGGCAAAAAAAAAAAGACACTTAAGTGCATCGTCCACAAAGACACTTAAGTGCATCGTCCACATCCAATGGGGAAATCATAAATTCGAATGTAGCCACATGCTTAGAGGGATCAGTCTTGCCCTTATATGCCTCTAAGTGAGGTACTTTGAATTCATGGGGTGGCTTCACTTAGATGATTGTTCTTAAGAAGCATTGGCTAGCTCTATTTTTTCTCTTCTAGCTCGCCTAGCCAACAGGATATATTCTTCATCACTCGTCCATGTGCGAGTGGGATTAGTTATAGATGCAGAGGCGAGTACTTGGTGTGAACGTCTTTCTCGGGCTGCTAAGTCGGATGATCCCTCGGGCATGTCTTCCGATTACATTCTTCTCGTGTGGCTGCTTAAGGCCCCCCTGATTGTTTTCAAGAGTACTCCATATCCCTCAGGTTCTGTAGGGTAGTGAATTATGTGTTATTCATATTCTCAGGGGTTCTTGTTGTGGTCGCTTGAGTCTAGGGCATCAATCCAGGTTCACCACACTTAAGAGGATGTTAGATCCAAATTTGTCTGATGGATGATATCGAGTATTACTAGTAAATTTACTTGGTAAGCTAATGGTCAACTTGCCAGTAAATAATGGGTGAAAAGAAAATAGGGGGAAGGAATAGAGAAGAATAAGTTAGTAAGATCTTAGATTATCTTAATCAAGATTACAAATTAATGATTCTAGGAAAAATCTGTAGCAAGATGTGGATCCCTTTGTTGTTATCATCACTCTACATTTATAAGGGTTTGAGGGCCACAGAAAAGGCTACATGAGGAGACAAAAAGTTTGGGATAGAAATTGACACATGTACAACACTACACACTAGTCCCATGGCAAGTGGCATCTCATAACAAATCATTTGAGAAATCATCCTCAATGTCATACCGTGCAGTTGCTCGTCAAGCGAGCTCAATGGAGGATGAGTAATCATAGGACGAATTCAAGGATTTGGTTTCGTTTACTAATGGAGCAAGCTAAGCGGTAAGCTTGGACGATGCATTCTCGAACCTGGGGTAAGTCGTGTCAAGGGCGAGGTTGGGGAAACAAACCTTTTCTTGTTAGGATCATCCTGCGACTCGAAGAGCCCCGAATAATGATATACTTCTTAAATCTAGGGCCCCCTGGTCACTAAAAAGGGCGAACTTTTGCGAGCGAGTGATGTCTTTTTCTGGGACAGATTTTCTGGGACAGATATTCTTGCCATAATCTGGCTGATACCTGTAAGATAGCTTGCCTAGAAAATTCAGGATATACAGTTATATAGAAGTGAAAATCCCTCCCTCCCTCTTTGTTACATATATCAAGCTGTCATTTGTAAAACTTAACTGAATATTTACTAGCCAGTCACTGAATGAATAAAATGTACAACAATGATCAAAGAAGGGTTTGGCAGCAGGCTAAACATCAAGCGATCTTAACTACCTTCTATATTCTAGCAATTGTATGTATTTCATACAAAATCTAAATTGAGGAATACACTAAGGGCAGCCGCCACTGACATATACAGAGATTGAATGGTTTACATACCTTTAATAAACTTGGTGAGCTATGATTGACCATCAGGTATACGATTGCAGACTATGATTGCATTTCAGTTGTCCTTCCTTTGAGCCAATCAGCAATCGTTCTAGCGAGCACTCTAATTTCATTAAGGGATAGGGACTTCAAGCTCTGAGCAAGAGCATCGGCTGGGGTGTAATGGTATCCCACTTGCCATTTAACATCCTATGCAGGTGAGGAGACATCATATCTCAAAATAAGTTCGAGGAAGAAAAGTCAGCAGAAGAAGGTTTATAGAAGTTGTAAAACATTCAAGATGGAAATCATATAGTTCGCTAATCAGAACGTCTAAAACTTTAATAACCTTTAAACTCTGTTTGGGAATGCTTTTTAGTTGCTTTCACTAAGGAAAATGCGCTATTACCGGCGGATTCCATCCGCCGGTAACAATCAAAATAGGCCGGACATATCACCTTTCCGGCTCATTTCCGACGCAAATTTTTCCGACGGCCGACGGCAATTCGCGCATTAAACATTCCGCCGGAAAGTCTGACGATAATGACGCATTTTCTTATAGTGTTTGCTTTTCACAATACTTCTTATATCACAATATTTTTAGTACGAAGAGAAGAATGCGTGACAGTGCATGTTTCCCTCCCTAATGACCACGCAATCATGGAATGTACTTGCTGAGCAGCTGATCCATCTCTATGGCATGATAAAATATGTCTCATCATTACTTGTTTTAGGAGAGCTAGAGTGCAACTACTGCATATTAGTTTCATTAGAACCATAGATTTCTGAGGACTAAATAAGTGCAATGCATTTATGTTCGCATTGAGCATAAAGAAGTACCTGTATGCATGGGGTAAGATGATTTCCAGATAAGGTGATCTTTTCTAAAGTCCCGCCAAAGGACTCAGTACGAGGCCTCAAGATGTCCTCCAGAACGTCACTTTCATCAATGGCATCAACATTGAACTTGACCTGAAATGAACGTCCTAATGGCAACAATGACAAGAAAAGCAAGAATTCAAGTTTATTTTGGGAAAAGAATTGTATCAGGCTGTCCTAATTAAAAAAAGATCAAGATGAATTTAAAGCCCTTAGATTTATTTTGAGATGATTGTGACACATAAATAATTTGTATTGTACTCATCTCAAAAAATATTCAAGGGCTTGAACCTATCCGATCAAAATTTTTATCAGGGAATCCTAACACAATCCTTTTTCCTTTGTTTTAGTTGAAAGACCCTACCAGAAGCGTGTGAGGTACTCGGTACGACTTCTTGAAGAATTCACGGTTCTCAAGGGGAGTAGGCCTGAATTCTGATATGCCTTCATTTACCTGAAAATATTAAGTTCTTTCAAATGATTCATGGAAAAAAAAAACAGGCAAAGATAAAATATTATTTAGATGTTGCAGATCTGGGAACATCAAGGTAATTCAATTTAACAGATATGAATATCTTCACCCAGACCTGTCCTATTACTGATGGTAGCTGATCAACAAATTTTGTAAGAGATGCCATGATTTCCTGGTCCAATTCCTGTGCAAATGCTCCCGCACTATCCAGTAGGGCTTTCCAAACATCTCCTATGAAATCAAGTTTGACCATTTAATCAGCAGAGCATTAGATCTTTATTAGCTTCAAATACCTGTGTTACCTTCAGATTATATTCCAGATGAAGAATGGAAGAATGGGGCTTCTTCGAGGATCCGTCAAATGCAGCTCCTAAGTTAACCTAATTAATCATTCTTACAGGACCATAAAACAAAATTACTTATTTGGTTAGGAGGAAATTTTTAATTAATATTTCTTGCAGGAAACTTTGTTTCAAGTTTCAAATAACCAATGATTATGAAAATACACATTCCTAATGTCTTGACCTGAGAAATGCACAATATTAACTATGAAAAGCCATTTAAAAACCAACTTCAAGGTATCAACCACCTTATCTGTACATCCATATTCGTATGTGTCAGGTTAGTTAAATCTTCATATAAGATTAAGCCGAGCTCAGTAAGTCATCAATCTTGAACCACCCTCGGTGCTTCTTAAGGTTGGAATCGCTCAAAGCCTTGAAAGTCGCTTCTTGTCAAGTCCTTACTATAGAGATCAGCATACCTGAGGCACCTATTCACCAAAATGGCTTTTCAAAAGATTTCAACAACTCGTTCGAGATTACTCACATGTTAAACAAGAGATCTCACCAACAGAAAGAGAATTCATCCCGTAGAACTCAACTTCAACTTAGAATTCAACAAAAATCATCGAACTCTTACACATTCATCAAAAACCCAGACTTATCTAACCAATGTTATTAAGTTGTTTTAGGTAAACTTTCTTATAATTCTTGATTATAGTCATTCCTATAATGCTAAACCTAAACCAATAAATAAGGGATAAAAAGGCAAACCCAACATATGGCCATCTCACATCAGCTTTGTATTTTCTAACTCTTAAATCTAAGATTTCATAGCTTCTCTTTTTATATTTCTCTCTCTCTTAGGGTTGAACTTAACTTGCTAGTAAGGCCCTAATGTCGCAATCGGACAAATTAGAATCCAACATATTAAAATAGATACCAAGTATAAATGATGTTGAGAACAAGAAGCCAAGCCATAGATAACCCAGGAGAACGAGAGATTCCACAAATCGAACAAGAAGATTAAGTAACTTCCGAACAATTTGATCAATGGAATATCGAGGATGATTCATGGAATCCTTTAGCAATTTTTATGAATTACACATCGTGTTGAGTCTCCTCAAAACAAGGATCTATTGACTCTCTGATTCATCAGCATCAACAAAGCATTAAAGAAATCACCTCCACTCCAATTGTTAAAGAAACTTATGTCCCAGCATAAGCCAAAACACCTCTTCCTCATTTACCCATGAATCATCCACCTCAACCTACCAGCATAATTTATGTGGAAGTCAAAGAGGCTCAACCTCTGCCCAAGTTAAAAAGTACCCCATCTTGATTTATAAAGATAAAAGATGAATCAAACATATTATATTGCTTATATTGAGTTAACTATTTCTCTTCACAACATTACCAATGTGCTTAAATGTCAATTATTCTTCGCCACTTTTAAAGAGGCACCACTATGATGATTTTCTCACATCCTCCCACTAGAGAGTATCTCTTCATTCTCCAACTTCAAGCGATAGTTTGTAGCTCAATTTTCTAGTGCCCCAAAACCATTGAAGAATTCACAAGCTCTTTTGAACACTAAACAATAGTCGGGCAAGTCACTTTAAAAATTCATAGTTTGTTTCAATATGAGATGTTGGAAGTCCAAAACTTGGAGTCAGTAGAAGATCAAATCACGGTCATCAAGAAGATCCTTTTAATATGTACTCGGCCTACAATAGCTGATAATGTTTGTTGGGTTGCTTAACCTAGCAAACATATCAACTCAAAAGAATATAATCATGCATCTACAACTTTATCATCTAAGCCACATAACTATAGCTAAATGAAAAACTAATAGTGCCATCCCTATGACGAATGAAGACAACCCAAAATAATTAGGCGAGTTGTCTATAAAACCACATCTTCTCGCTAGCAGCACCAGCAACAAAGATTATAGCAACATGATTCCACCTTGAGGAATTAAATTAGGGTATAAGAACATATGGCAATGCAAACCGAGAGAGGTCTCCCCAACTTCATCCATATTCGACTTTCAATCCTCTCTGAGATTCATTCAAATAGATCATAGACGTCATCCTCAATACCGACAAACATTGACATGCACAAATCTTCATGCTAGGGACCCAATGAAGTATGATATATTCCATGAGGACCATAAGTATGATACGAAGTATTGTCACCATCTTCTTAACTTCGTTGAAGAATTTTCACACTATGAAATTGAATGAGTTTATTATTGTTGACCTGGGATATCCCAAGAAGATGCCAATTGAGAAATAGAAAAATGAGCCTATCCTAGCATAGGTGATCCATATTGGACTCAAGGCAGCAATTCTCGGGTAAGGTTGGGCAGATGTGTCATGGCAAGATAGCCCCAAGCAACTTCAGTTGGGAGAGGTGCATGCCACCTTAACTTGAAGATCTTTTTTTTATTGGAGGAGATACCAATTAGCTCACCAACAATGACCGACCAACAAACGACAACTCCTAACATGAACTGCTTATTCTCATGGTGTTAATCCTAAATTATCAAAATGGAAGCATTCTAATCAACACAAGAAGTTATGAAAAAATATTTTTTTTTATATAACTTTGATCCAATGCATCTTAATCCTTCCACATTGGCGCCTCCTGCTAGGCCCCTTTATGATTTCTCTAATGAGCACAAAAGAACTGAAAGTATGAGTATGCTACCAATCACCTAAGGGGAAGGAGATCAACAATTCATTTTCAAGGATGACTTCAAAACAGCTAAAGCACCGACAACCTACAACACCGCATTTGTTTAACTACGCCTTAAATTTTCGCATAAACATGTTATAAGTCCAAGCATGTTACTTGAAGGATGTAGGATGCGTGAAAGAGGTGTTACAACTCAACGTTCAACGAGGAGCTTAACTCAAGACATAAAGCGATTGCAGAGGTAACTAACTCTAAAGATGACCCAAGTTATACCATCCATGTCAATGCATTCTTCGATCCAGAGAACAAGCCGGCAGTAACACTCTATGACCAAATATTGAAATTTTTGCTTAGTCTATTACATAGATGTTAGGGGTCGACATATATGTCACATGTTATTGCCTCAATGTCGATAAGTCATTCAGGCAAACTGAGCAACAAAGGCATTGTTAATATAGTAGAACTTATTTACTTCGAGGTCTAGAAGATACTAGAGGTTAGCTTCACTCGAGAAATATGATGCTCGGATATGATCTCTAATGTCGTAATTATAAAAAATCAAATGAGAGGTGGAGATCATGAATTTCCTAAATTTAAATTCAAATTGTTCAAAGAATAGTTATTCTCCTGCAAATAGACACATTGATTTACTTGACAATTGGCTGCCCAATAATGAGCTTTCTTGACACATTTCAAGGTGCATCCCACCAATTATGAGACAACTTTCATTACAAGCGACGGATCAACATCACGCCATTTAAACTAAAGGATGTGTTAAGATGACTTACCTGAGAATGATGGACTACATTTTCAAATATCAGAAATGTTGAAATATCGAAACATATATTGATGACCTACTCGTTAAAAATAAAACTCTAACAACACATATTTGAACTCCTCGATACTTTTGCAACTATAAAGAAACGTAACTTGTCCCAATCCTCTGAAGCATACCTTTGAAATTCATTCAAGAAAATGTACAGGGTTCCTACTCCTAAAAACATCAAGATGAATATAGATAATGTTAGAACAATCCCAGAGATATCACTACAAAACTAGCCAAATAACTTTAACAACTAGCAAGGCAAATTACAATATTACGTAGTATTATTTGCAAATATGGAGAATAACATTCTTCTTTCTTGAAGATACTTACAACAACAACAACATCAAGCCATTCTCCCACAACGTGTGGTCAGCTACATGAATCTTTTTTCTCCATTGTGTCATGTTAAGAGTCAAATTCTCATTTAAATCTAATAAAGAAATGTCATTTCTAGTATTTTCCAACCAAGTCTATCTCTATCTTTCATAACATAGGCCAAATCTAATACATATGCTCTCCTAATAGGGTCATCAAAAGGCCAACATTTTACTTTACCAAACCATCTAAGGCGACTCGCTCTAATCTTATATGTCACTGGAACTACTCCAACCTTTTCCTAGATATGTTAATTTCGCATCCTATCTCTAAGAGTAAGTCCACTTATCCACCTGAGCATTCTCATCTCAACAACACTTAACTTAATATTATGCTTTTCTTTTAATGGCCAACATTATGCATCATAAAGCATGTCTCACTACCATCTTATAAATTTTCTTCTTAAGATTGAGTGGTACTTTTCTATCACACAACAAGCCCGAAGCATTCCTCCACTTCAACCATCCAACTTAAATTCTACTAATAATATCCTCATCTATTTCACCATCACTCTGAATAATCCCAAAATATCTAAAACGAGTACACTTATTAATGACTTGATCGCTCAAAGTCACAAATCCCCATTAAATCTATGACTACTAAAATTACACTCCATGTATTCGGTTTTAGATCTACTCAAACGAAAACTTTTAGACTCTAAGGTTAACCTCCATAATTCGAGTACACCTTCAACTCCCTCTCTAGTCTTATCAACAAGAAGAATATCATCAGCAAAAAGCAAACACCAGTGTTCAACTACTTGCAAATATATGTTACTCAACATATAAAATTTTAAGACAAGAATTATTCCAACATTCATTAACAACATTAAAAGAGCAAATTTTGAGGAAATCCCTCTTGTATTTAAATTTTGGGAAAAAGGCCAACTTCAATAATTTTCATTCTTAGATGGCATAATTGCTCTTACCATCTTCATCCTTTTCTTCATTCAAACTACAACAAAAATGCTAAACAAATGAGAATTTGTGAAATCATCATATAAATAATAGATATCATTCCATTTAATATTAATTATGTCATCCTTTATC